GCCAAGGTTCTGGAGCTAAGATCAATTTGGCTGCAGTGTGCCAAGCTCTGGTATGTGGCACAGCCCCATCAATGACTCACAAAGCTTCAGTCTCCCTCACTGGCATTTGGGTTGAAACCCACAGAGAACAGTGCACAAGTGGCTGAACTTTCGGGTACTGACTGGGTCTCTTACTCAAGGGCATTTCTACTTTAAGTTAGAGAAGAGGGCCATACCACACCTGTTCTACACACTGAGTGGAATCTGCACCAATAAAACCTAGGGAACCACGATACTAAGCAAAGATTAGGTTCTCAATCCCTTGCAAGGAACATTGTCCAGGACCCAGGCAGATGATGCTGGAGCTTTGCTCTGCTGCATCAAGCTCTTTTTAGTACAAAAGCCAAGTGCAGCAGCATGATTTCTCCCCATAGCTCAAGGATGATTCTCTCTTGCTAGCTTTTCAACAGGGAACATTGCCTGCTCACTCAGCCTTTGCTTGAACATTTCCTCCCTCTTCTGCTTCAATGCCTGCAGCTGCCAGCAGGTGGCTTCCAGCTTCCCTGGGGGCAGCAGACATGTTTCAGGAAGATCAGGTACACAGGAAACAGGAGATGGGAAACAAACTATTTAAAAAGGTGTCATCACAGCAGCACAATACAGGAATGAAAAATGGCTCCCCAACTGTGCACAGGAGGGGACCCTGGGTCCCCAGCATCAATGATTCAGGGACAGATTGTTCCCTAGAGGATGACGGTCAGCTGGACTTCTTTGGAGCGTGGGGGAGGGGGAATACTCAAGGCAGTCTAGACTGTTTTGTTTTTTTGGTACTGGGGGATCAAACTCAGGACCTTGCAAGTGGTGGCACCACTGAGCTAAATCCCTGGCCCCAGTCTAGGCTGTTCTGAAGCTCTCAGCAAGTGCTATAGCAGACCAAAAGCAAGAACAGAGCAGCACCTGAGGTTTGGAGGCAAGTGTATAGCTTTACTGACACCAGCGGTCTAGACTGGGATCGGTTTTGGTCAGGCCCCAACAGCCCCATGTGTCGGGATTTTATGAGGTTTGTGAGCAAGCACAGAATATAGAAACAGGTCAATGGTTGGTCAGCAAATTTTACTGAGTTTTATCTTTTTTATACACGGCAGAAAAAAGTTTCTATCATTTGGGGGAAATAAGTTTTCATTAAGGCGCAGGGGCTGATGGAGCAAAAGCAGACAGTTGGGATGAGATTATCTGAAAACTGGCTCCTGGAACACACTTCATGTAACCTGGCATGTGTCCTGCTATCTTTGGTCTTGCTGCATGTATTTTACATCCTCTGTAAGAATGTTAATATATAAATAAGGCATGTGAAGGGACTTTACATAAATGGTGAAAATGAAAGTATTATAGTACTTTCAAGGGCGGCTGTAACATCTGAGTGGATTAAGAGATTTCTGCACAGGTGACAGAATCATGAGGGTGCTGTACTCAGTAGTGGATGAATGTACTGATCATCGCCCAGATGGAGGTGGGTCACTGGGTGTGCCTTTGTGGGGTGTTATGGTTTGCTGGCATTTCTCCAGTCTCTGCTTCTTAGCTGCTGGAGTGAGCAGCTTTGCTCCACCATTGCCTTCCACCATGATGCTCCTGCCTTAGAGCAGCAACCACAAACAGAAACCTCTGAGACCTGGAGCCAGAAAAACCTCTCTTCCAAGTTGTGTCAGACATCTTGTCCCAACAATGGGAATCTGACTAACACAGCATGTCTTATTCCGCTGAGTAAGAATCACAAATGTGTTAAATCTGCATAGGTCTGAGACGTTAAAAACACGTCAGCATAAACTCAGCGCAGCATCTGACAGCTCTTAACCTTATCTATTTCAAACTTTCTCATGTCATCTAAGCCTGAAATGCTAATTCTGTGCTTTTTGTCTAAATGGAAGACTCATTATAGTCACAAAAAAAAAAACCAGAATTTCTATCACAAAAATTACATTAAATTGCAGCATTTTTCAGTGCTTAAGATTCTGCTTAGAATAAAAAAATCCTAGATGCTGCCCCTTCCATGGGAAATGTAGCTCATCTCATATGAAATGAAATCTACTTATCTTTGTATAAAAATCAATTAAAAATATGGGATCCTGTCCCAGTAATTTCATGAGCCAGATCTGGTGATGAAAAGTGGTGGACTTTGCTCCACCTAAGTGACCCAGTCCTTTGCAGTGATGAATACAGGCCATATAAAGCTGGATTCTCCAAAAATATTCAACAGCTCAATATTTGGTCACCTTGGGACACAGACTAAATTCTTTTTATTCCTGGTCTGAAGCTCACAGAAATACTAAAGAAACACAATTTGTGAGCTCTCCTTTGGCATGGAAGAAGCTAACACCCATGTCTGTTTTCATTCATGTATCTGCTCAATAATCAGGGAAGCTTAGTAAAGCACTCCTGTGCCTCCAACACTGCAGTGGGCTCAAGGAGCACAAAAATCAGGAGTCTTGTTTCTTGCTGGATGGTGGTTGTAGAGGTCCTGTGCCATCTCTCCAGATGTACTGCATTCCTGCAAAATCGCACTTTCAAGCCTTCCCTGTCCACTACTCCTACCTCCTTCCCCTGCCTTTCTCCCTCTAGATTTTCCCCACTAGGTAAACTACCCATTTCATTTTTATTTATTTATATTTTATTTCCTGTCACCATCCCTGTTAGCCTGAACTTCAAAAGGAAAATCATTTCCTTCCGTCCTGCTATATCCCCAGAGCCTACAAGAGGGCTGGCTTATGTGGACGGTTCAGTGGTGAAGCAATTATACTCTGCTGGGTGCAGGTCCAAGAAGATTCTCCACAGCTGGCAGTGGAGCTGGTGGTCAAGCAGCAACTAGTACACCAGGCTATCCGCAGCAGAGGTACAGGTGACACAGCAGCACTGGCTAGGGTGTGGGGTGGCCAGCGGAGCTGAGCCGAAGGTCCCGGCCCCCATACCATCCTCCAGCAGACAACACTGTCTCCAGAGAGTGGGCCAGCACACACATAGTGCTGATGTGTGGGGTTAGGACACGGGCCTGAGTGGGAACTCAAGCACAGTCCAGGAAAGAAATCCTGAGGCTCTGAACTAAGTTCATGGGTGAAAAAAAAAAAGATGAATTAGAAAGTACTTTCAAGGCTGAGGTGAAAACTATAAAAGTTCTGAGTCCACTCTAGGTTTGTCCTGGAATGAGAGTAGATGTGATGTCATCCGCTGATGGGGCCAGTGTTTTGATGGAAAGACGAACATCCAGCTCTGAGTAGGACAAAGTCAATGGTGATAGCAGCTCTGTCTCTGGGGACCACAACTCTGCTTTCTGAGAGATATGACACCCGAACCAGAGCCAAACCTCCTTCCAAGGCGTCAGAGATGAGACACTCAGCCACTTCATGGGGCCGATGTACCTTTTCTCGCTTGTGTTTTTCTAGCACTCATGCTTCTTACTCCACGCACCCCTCCTGTCTAGCTGCAGGGTCCTCTTTCCCACACTGCTTCAGGGATGAGCGCTCCTGCCAGATCCCTCAGCTCTGTACCCTATGCACACGTTAGGGGCACAGCTCAAACCTGGCCTGCTACCCTAACTTGCTCCTCTTTCCACAAGCACAAATCTCAAACCCCAGAACAGATTCTCACTCTACAGAGGCCATCTTAACCACTTCTGCTGAGTTTATAGCACGTACAGCATGGCCAGAGTTGGATTACTGACGTGAATTTGGAAGATGCCCAAAAGAGAAATACAATGATGCCAAGAACTGCTGTGCCCAACTCACACTTTACTCATCACAGTAAGGCATCAACAGGCTCCTCCTCTTACATGATGACAAATATGCCTTATTTTTCAAAATAATGTCTTGTTTTGCGAGGCAATGGCAGACTATAGACTGCATCTGAGAAGCGCTGCAAACCCTTCCTTGACCTTTAAGGCTATAAAATAAATATAATTCAAATCAGAGCTCCAAGTGCTTATAAGAGGACTCAAAGAAACAGCAGCCATCATTTAAATGACCTTCAAGATTACAGTTTCCTTCTGAAGGACCTAGGGAGAGGCTTCCAGTCCACAGGCAAAATTTCTGTTTTCTACTGGCTCCTCTCACCAACATTTCAACACAAACTGTCACTGCAGGACAGAGACACACACACACTCTGGGCCAGAAAGCCCAGGGGAAACACTGGAAATGGGTGTTAGTTCAAAAGTGAGCAAATGGACAAGGCCGTGTGGGGGACTGAGGCAAAAGTGGGGCCACAGTTCCTGGGGGCAAGCTGCTGGCTCCTCTCTTTGCCCTAGAAAAGGTAAAGGACTGCTTTTGATCAAATCCCAGACTGCTACTCTCTTTTCTGTCTGAAGAAGCACTGAGTGTCCCGCTGAGCTCAGGACACAGCACTGTCACACAGAGCAGCTCACTGCCTGGTGACCCTTCATCTACTCTGCTGCTTTGTGTCTCTAAATCACTGCATTTCAGGGGGCAGGGGATTTAGCTCAGTGGTGTTGCTGCCTGCCTTGCAAGCGAAAGGATGGGAGTTTGATTCCGGTATAAAAAAAAAAAAAAGACTGAATTGTCAGATATCTGTAGTATCATATGAGCTCATGGGCTGGGGATTTAGCTCAGTGGTTCCACTGCCAAGTGCAAGGACCCAAGTACAATCCCTGGTACCAAAAAAAAAAAAAAAAAAAAACAACCCATAAATCACTGCATTTCAGATTCATCTCCTACAGACATCACACAATTAGGTTTTACTTTTGAGCCAATTATGAAATTTTCTGGGTTTTTTTGGTACTGAGGATTGAACTCAGGTCCTTGTGCTTGCAAAGCAGGCACAGGAACCACTGAGCTAAATCTCTGGCCCTGAAAATGTTTTTTTTAAGCTGATTGATTGACTGATTTTTTTGGTTTTTTGAGACAGGGTCTCACTATGTAGTTGAGACTGACCTGGAATTCACTATGTAGCCCAGGCTGGTCTCGAACTCACCGTGATACTCCTACCTCATCCTCCAGAGTACTGGGATTACAGGCCTGAGCCACCACACCCAGAAAAGCTGATTATTTTTAAAAACATGGTTGTTCTGGGGGTTAAATAGTTTAAAATGCTTAATGTAATAATATTATGTCTGTTAGATAAAATAATTAACCTGATTAAGATAAACAAAAAAAAATACTCAAAAAGAGCAGAGACCATATACAGCACATGGGGAAAGGCAATAAAGCTCATACAGTTTCCCCCACCCCATCTTAGACCACCACTGCCTCATGTCATGGGTGATCCAGCCAGGAAGGCTAATTCAGACCCAGTGGCCCAGACAAAGCCATGTACTCCTCAAGAAGGAAGATGTATCTCAAGGTTCTAGAACATATTACCTGAGGGTGGAGCGCTGCCTGGGGCTGTATTTAAATTTCTCTATACTTAGCAGTGGCTTAAATCTAGGTATGTTCTGATAGGAAGTGTGAGGCCTGATACAAACTAATCTGCAGGTAGTACATTTACAGGAAGTGCTACCAGAGGAACACTCACTAACTAGATGGGGACAAAATAGACACTGAAGAGAAAAGCAAAACACATTTTTTAAAGGCTCTGGATTCAGTTTTGAAAAAGCACCTGATTTATGAATTCCTCTTACTTGTAGAACACAGACTATTTCCAAAATTTAAACATCAATACTTGGTCTTTTTAGGTGGAGGGTAGAAGACTGGGCCATCTTCACAGACCACCATTGACTGTGTGGCAGCCACCTTGGTCAGCCACACCTCCTGCTTAGGTGACAGCAGTTCCCCAGGCTCTGTGCAGTTCCGCAAATGGAAGTCCTCCTTAGTGAAGCACAACTCTATCTGGCTAATTGTTTGCACCTCCTCACCCTGAAAATAAAGTGATAGATGCTTCAAAATTCACACCTTGGAATATCATCGGTTTTAGGATCATGATACATTACAGATGTAATGGCTCCCAACCTAAGAATACAGACTCTAGAAGCAAACTCCCTCTACCAACAGAAGAAAGCTGGCCACCAGGAAGACAACAAGCAGCCAAGGTGACTGAGTTGTGGGCAGTGGGGCTCAGCCTGAACCCTGGTCCCCCAGTTACCCTGGAGGCTCACTTCCCCCGCCCTGTGTGCAGGGACGTCCTTTTAGCTTAGAAAAAAATTTAAAAATCACCTACAAAGATTCACGCAGACCCAGCTGCATACACATCAAGACACTGGGAGAATAAATAGCTTTTATAGGTGCACAGTACCCTACTACTAAAATAAGTCTTTATCAACTGAAAAATGAAACCATAATCTCGTGAATAAATTGGACAAATAACTGCAATTAAAATGACTAAGACTAGCAACATGAAACTCAAGACATTTTCTAACAGTATATTCCTACTCCTCTATACCACATCCCTTCTAGGTTAGGCATATTCTTATTAGGGCTAGGTGGCAAGAAAACAAATCCTAGCCCAGTATTGTGTCAAAACCCCACACTGGTTATTTCAAAACTCACAACACATGGCTGCACACATACATACTTAGATATATGTGTGTGCACACAAGCAGACATGAACACACCTATGCACACACAGCACATGCCTATATTCATGTTCACACATGCGCACACAGACAAGGACACAAACATACATGCACAAATATAATTCCACCCTGAAATCTCTACAGTGAATACGGAATAAATGACCAAAATGACATATCTGACCTGTGTGGATGGAAGGCACTGGATCTTAGGGACGACTCCATAGATTCTGGTAAGGGCATCTTTAAAGTCTGAAATCTGACATTAAGTGAAAGTGTATTAGAAATAAAACTTCAACTGGAAAACCTAAGGGTTCTGTTCCATGTAGAACTGTACTGTTTTGGTGAATGCCTTCCCCTGGTGCTTAGGGAGAGGACATCAGCAACAAGCACTCTATCCACCAGACTGCCAGGTACTCCCACCACTTCCTTGCCTTCTCTGCATCCATCCTTCTTTCTGTGTGACGGGCCTGCCCTTATCTCCCACAGCAAGCCACTCTGCTCCGGGTCTTTGAAGAGGTGTCCATTCTTACCCCCCAGCACTGCCTTGCCTCCCCTCCTCAGGATACTCTTTCCCATGCCCCCAGACTCCAGGAGGCTCCGCTTCTCAGAAAAGGTCTACCCAGGAAGCTCCCCATGAGTCCTAGCAGCACAACCCTTCTTCCTATAAAGCAGATGTGTGGTAAGTATCTGGATGTTGGATACCAGAAGGAAGCCCAAGGAAACTCAGACTCACTGTGACAGGCTGGGACCTCTGCCTGAGTCCCAGCATACATTTTGATACTTTGCAGACAGCTCAACAATGGTTGTCACTGCTGGCCCCTAATATCCCTGAACACCAAGTTTTAGGCAAAAGTATAAGGCCCATTCCCCTCATTCCCATTATAAAGTTCAGACTAGGTCTAAAGGCCCTGCAAATGCTTCTCCCACCAAGGTGCAGCTGGTAGCTTGTCCTTCAAGCCACTGGTACCTAATGGTCTACTGTCCTCAAAGAGCAACAAACAGCAACTGGGAAAGTGACCACAGTCTAGCAGACACCGCTAAGGGCAAGAAAAAGATACCATTTACTGCACAAACTGCCAAGGCCATAACTATTCAACATCCAGAACCATATAATCACTAAAATCAGTTACTTTTGATCTTTCTTTAAATCAACACTGTGTGATAAATATAAAAGCTACCTCAGAGAAATAAATATATTTCTCTAAAATTATAGCCTGTATCTTTTCCATAAATGCACAGATAACATCTTGGGCTTTGGGGGTAATACGTCTGTCTTTGCTTCAACTGAAACAGATCTGGGGCCACTCTCCCCTGCCATAGAGGACGTCCTAGCAACCAGAGCAACAGGTACAGCACATGTGGCTATAGTCCAAGATCCAAGGGAATTTTGCTAGCAAATTAGACAACCCGGAAGTAAGAACTATATTTTCTGTATCTTTCACAGCCAGTAAGATCTGCTCTTGTTTAAATTTCTGTGTCATCTAGTTTACTATAGAAAAAAACCCTAAATAATTTCCTCAAACATAACATATGATTAAGCTGAATGTGTTTTTCAAGTTCATATTCCATCCCCTCAGAAACTACAGTATACACACAAACTAGCAAAGGCCATGAAACCATGTTTCCATATCCGGCCAGTGACCTTCATTTCATAATCAGTGTGCAAGTGGAAACAACATCCATGTATAATCTATTTAAAGCATACAAATTAGAAGGGTTTTTTGTCAGTATTAGGGCTTATATCTAGATGTACACTCACAGGTGGATCTTTTGGGAGTGACTGGATCATAGGAGTGATAATGGATTAGTCCACTGATTGGCTTAACGTGGTCTGATTGTGAGCAATGGACTTACTGAAGGACAGCCCACCCTGAGTGTGGGGGCACCAACCAACAGACTTGTAGCGTGGATGCTATAAAAAGGGAAAGATAAAGGGAGGCTCACTGCTTCCTGCCTGCCATGGGATGAATTCTTTCTCCTCTTCCATGCCCCTCTACCATGCTACCCTGCCTTGGAGCAAGGACTATGGAGGAAAACCTTTTAAACTGTGAGCCCAATATAAACTTTTCCTCTTTTAAGTTATGGAATGCCGGGCGTGGTGACATCCCAGCACTTGGGAGGCTGAGGCAGGAGAATCACTGTGAGTTCGAGACCAGCCTGGGCTACATAGTGAGTTCCAGGTCAGTCTCAACTACATAGTGAGACTCTGTCTCAAAAGACCAAAAAAAAAAAAATTTGTGGATGTGAGGTTTGTTGTCCCAGCAACGAAAAAGTAACCAGAATGGCTGGGTCATTTTAGATCCCAACAATGACTCACAGGATGCAGTGACATGCTAGGTATCCTTAGTGGAGTACATTAGATAGGAAGTTAAGGCAAGACTTACATGATAGTAATTGATAGATGGTTCAATCCCAAATTTTTGGAGCACACTGCAATTAAAAAAAATTAGCTGTAAAGAGCCATTTTTTTCTTATTCTTCTGAAACATCGTATTTCATAGTAAAAATTAAGACATTCTTGAAGGAGAGTGCTTTTTGGCCCATGACTCAAGTGACTCCCACTACAACTTTCTTGCCTCACAAACCTGCCCCCTCCCAGAGCCTGAGCCTCCCAGAGCCCTCCAGATATCACTCCATCGTAGCAGGCACACACAGCGCCACCTACTGGCAACATTTGTTCAAAATGACAGCAATTGATTTCTCAATTTATCCTAGGAAACTGCATACCACCAATCTTTAAATACGTGAAATACCAAAAACCTTGAAAAATCTTCTAAAGCACTGCTATAGATAATTCTACCAGAGCACCAGACAACAAACATTAAATTATGTGGTATGATGTAGAAATTTTTAGACTGAGCATTCCAGAATTCTCTGTGATCCCCATCAACCCTTGCTGATCATTCTGGATTATGATCACAAAAGGTGGATAAAAGACATAGCTGCCTTTCTGGGTCCTGAGATGTCACTAGCCTGCTGCAACTCCTGGGACAAACAGGAAAGTGGTGGTGGGCGAGGCTCCTTGCACCTCTAGCAATGCCCCATACCCACGTGGCCGCCTGAACTTGTGCTGTCAGTGTCATAACATCAAACTCCAAGGAGGGTAAATCATCTCTATCTTTAAAAAATGTATTAAAAGTTGCAGGGATGGGCCGGGGTTTTAGCACAGTGGTTCTACCGCCTGCCTCGCAAGCACAAGGACCCAAGCTCGATCCCTGGTACCAAAAAAAAAAAAAAAAAAAAAAAGTTGCAATGATAACATCTTAGATAAACTGGGTTAAATGTAGTATTAGAATTAATTTTACCCGGTTCTCTATTTTTAGTGATGTTACTGAGCCCAGACATCTATGGCTCACATTCTGTTTCTACCGGGTAGTGCCCTCCTGATACTTATGGCAAAGACAGAAAGATGCAGGGAAACCTAGTAACTAGTCTAGAACACAGCTTATCATGTCTTCTTCTGAGTTACAAATAGTTTGGTTTAGCCCTAAGTCTTCATCTGAGGGTATGTGGACAACTACAAGTTACTCTGCAGTTTCTCAGGTTTGCTGCCTTCAGAACAAAATAAAAAATTGTTTTAAGCTATGGCAACTTATATCAAATGAGAAAAAGATAATTTGTAGTATTGGTTTATAAAGGGACCTTAAATTTTGACTCCTTAATTTTAACTTTGTGAGCATTAAAAATTTTAGATTTTCCTTGGAGAAACAGTCACAGAGTAATTGTTTAGAACTACTGTATTCTGGGGCGGTCAGCAGGCACCACGCTCCCAGCTGTGCTGTTTGTTCAGTGGGTTTTAGCAAGTACTTGAATGGGGCCTGCAGGTTGGCCTTGCTGTTGCCAGGGCCATGCAAAAACCTGCTGGGTTTCACATTCGGCAAACAGGAACTACTGTACTTAATTTCTTAGATAGCGTATAGAAAGAACTTTTAGACAGGGCCCCTGTGTTCTTTCTCGTGTGGTGACCCCCCACCACCTGTAACGTATACTTCTTTCCTACTTCTACTTGGCCCAAATTTGCTCTGCAGAGCCTTTTTCTTTTCCTATCATTAATAAACAATATTATTTGATTTAAATGGTTGCTACCATTTAAAAAAAATTTTTTTAGCTATATTTATTTGTTCTCTTTTTTCTGCCTGGTTAAATGAGAACTCTTGCACAACTAATCTCAACTTACATACCACAGCAGGGCACGGCAGAGAGGACTGGGATCCGTATTAGAAACAGAAGAATTGTTTTGTCTTTGGAGGGCTAAATGGGCCCTACTCTGTCAAATTTTCAAGAATAAGCCTCCCTGTATGTGGGAAACCAGGTGTGAGACTGAGGCTCGAACTGAACTCTCCTTCGGATGTAGGGGAGGGGATAGCAAGCTCTTCCCTTTCTCGGGCTGTTCACAAGCATGCCAACATCAACCAGCTTCAAGGAGAGAAAGAACTACAGCTGAAGTCTAATTTTAAAAAATACACATTAGAAGCCGGGCGTGGTAGCGCATACCTGTAATCCCAGCACTCCAGAGGCTGAGGCAAGAGGATCGCTGTGAGTTTCAGACCAGCCTGGGCTACATAGTGAGTTCCAGGTCAGTCTCAACTACACAGTGATACCCTGTCTCAAAAAAACAAAAAGAAAAAAACAAAAAACAAACAAACAAAAAAAAATAACCACACATTTGGGTATAGTCTACAGATTATGAGAACCCAATAAACTTTCCCTGAACCACAGATCACATGCTTGCCTCTTCTCTGTGCAAGGCAAATAAGTGAGGAGCTTTTTGTCCACTAGAGGCAAAAGTCCCTGACCCTCCTCTTCCAAATTATTTTTTTTGTATCTTTGTTCTTTAAGCCTCACCTCCCCTACCCAACGCGGGGATAAACTCATAGGTTGGCCTCCCACACTTCTAACTGCAACCCATTCCAGAAGCATGTTCTCAGTTAATCCTCACAACGGCTTCTGAAGTGCTCAGTATTGACATTTTGTGGGTAAGAAGGTTGTTTCCTAAGGTCTTGTTCTTACTGCAAGAGAATACTACTTCCTCTAAGAAAAACCTACAAATTAAAGAACACATATAATACCTGTAACAGTGAACACACACAGGAGCTGCCACACATCACTGGCTCTATAACTCCTAGAACATATACTTAACGAATGGAGATTTAAAGAACTTTAGGAACATGAGGGTGACCCATTTATTCATTTTACATCATGGAACTGAGATCTAAAGAGATTAGGTAAATGGACTGAGCACCTAGTTAGTGTCGACACCAGGATCAAAGGGCACATTTAACCCCTTTTTCTGCCCTTGCCACAGTGTCACATCATTGTAATCCCATGTAGGAGGCTGAGGGAAGAAGTTAATAAGACCCTGTCTCAAAAGTAAAATAAAAAGTATGAAGGATGTAGCTCAATTATAGAGAGCCTCCACTGTTCAACTCTCAGTAATGTAAAAACAAACAGGAAACACATCGCGCTCTGGAGGCTGGTAGCTTTTACACACTCTAAACTCACTGGCAGGTTATTCTTTGCTGTAGCTGCATTTGTCCAAAGGCACTCAGCCTCTCCCGCTTCAATGCTTCATCTGTCAATTCAAATCCCAGATATGTTTGATCAAAATGACACAGGAGGCCATCTGTGTGAGATGTGACACATCACTCGTGGATGCTTTTGTGTGTGGAGGTAGAACACATGTCTAGAGAACCATAGAGGTTTTATTCATCTTGAAGCAGATTTGAATTCAAACACCTTACATGTGGCTGATGAACAAAGGCTCCTGGGATGACTCTCATCTAAAGCAGAACCATTCTGACTAAAGAAACTGCGTAGAATACAGGCAGCACTGCAGACACTGTATAATCTGTCATTTCTTCTTTTTTTAAATAATCAACAGACATTTATTTCTCACAAAGTGTAAGATCAACATACTGGCAGATCTGGCTGGTATCTAGTGACAGCTCATTTCTCACAGACAACAGGTGTCTCTCTGTCTTCCTGGGGGAAGAGGATAGATAGCTCTTGGGGTTTTAAAAAGGGAACTGACACTTCTCATATCTTCAGGGTGAAGACACAATTCCAGGGGGACACATGCCTCCATTCAGCCCATTACAGCCACTACTCCTGTGCTGAAAGCCTTCTCACTGTCTTGTTACATTTTAAAAAAACTAGCTCACTGGCTTATTAAGGTCACTTACAATGAAGGACCTTAGGAAGAATTAAAACACTTGACACCACAGAAGTGGCAGGACGGGAAAGGATAGCCCCAAGATCTCTTATGACTGACCCTGGTGAGGAGGGCAGTGGGTAATGGCCCTTGTAGGGCCTGTTGTCCTTACAAGTCCATTGGCTCTTGTATGGTGACAACACATTCCCATCTCTGGGGCTGAGTTAAGTGCAAGCAGTGTGGCAAGCCCCCAGGCACTGGGTTAATCTCTAGGGCTGAAAGGACCTTTGTCTACCACTTTCTGCCAGTTTCAGGAGCACCACAACCACCACACAGCAGGAGGCAGAGACTCCCTCATACTCAGGATCTCAGGGAGACTATCACAGTGCCTGTCAGGAACAATGACTGACATGGCTGCTCTTTTGGTCCTCACTCTCCACAGAGCCACCTTACTGTCTGAGGACCAGCCAGCATCCAGGCAGCCTGAGCCAGGTGGTCACACTCTAGAACGACTACTTGTGCTCAGCAGGGCCTGGAGCATTCTCAGGCATGATCCCTCACCCTTTTTCAGGGTGCAAGGACACATACATGTGGACAGGGCTGCCAACAATCAGCAACCTCTGCTCATTCTTGGCCATTGGAGCCCCAGGCTTCAGAGCCACCTTCAAGTTGAATGCACTCACCTGGTGAGGTCAATCTGCTTGTACAGCACCAGGCTCTTCCCAAAGTACTTCTTCTCAGAATCCAGGGCATCCAGCTGGGCAGCACAGGTGCCATGCTTTTCCCACTCATGCCTCCTGCAGGTTCACGGCAAGACAATATTCAGATGTGTTTTCCTCACACATAGCAGTCACACGGTGGGCAGGCCACTGAACACCAGATGGGAAGGCTACAATCCCTCATTTGCAACATAGGCAACACAGTAGGTTCCCTGGGCTCCAGGACCACACGACCATCCTGAAAGAGCACTCCCCATCTTGTGTTTTCCACCACTCATTAGTTCCAGTTCACCTCTACAATCACAGCTTGTTCAATTAACAGCAAATCAAAGCTAAGGGAAAAAAAATGCCATTGTTCAGACATCCACCAAGCCATACAACAACACAGATCTCCTGCAGAGCTGGCGCTTGACAGCCAAGGATTTCAGAGAGCAGCACAAGCCTCACTTTTCCAAAAGGAGGGCAGGATGTCTAGTCACCAAGAAAGGCGCTGGGCTATTCCACAGTGCACCCTCTACTGATTTTTTTGTTTTTGTTTGTCTAGCTCTGCAATTCAGGCTGGCCTCGATCTAGTGGCACTCCTCCTGCCTCAGCCTCCCAAGTGCTGGGAACACGGGCATGCACCACCACACCAGTTTAAAACTCTTGAAGGGGATGAGATCCTGGCCTCTTCCTGTTTCTATTTTTGCTTCTCTGCCACCACAAGGTGAACATCTTCCTCTGCCACATGCTCTCACCATATACGTATATGCCATATTACACCAAAGGCCCAAAGCAGTGAGACTAACCTTGGAAACTGTGAGCCAAAACAAATTCTTTCTTTTTAAATTGGTTTTCTCAGGTACTTGTTATAGCTAAGCTGACTGACAGTTATCAAAAATTCATCATTTGAAGTGCCCTGTGAAGTTATGTGTAAGTGCTTTTTCCTATTTCCCTTCACTTCAATTCATTATAGCCATTATCTACTTTGAAGCCATTTTCCAGAACAAAAAGTAAGCAGAAAGTTTGAGACCTGAGCTGTTCATCATCAAATTTTCACTAAGAATAGTTCTCTTTTTTGAAGGGTGATTTCAACCCCCAGATCCACGGTTAGCGAATCCTGAAACCACAGAGCCTTGGGTGAAATGTCACACAGAGTGCCGATGACTCAGGCTTTTTAAAAGCCTCTCACTAAACTCAAGCTTTCATTTTTAACTAAAAACTGCACAAAAATATGTGTACATTAATGCTTCTGGGAAAATCTGATTAGTTATAATCTGAATCTTAAGTTGTCATTTTGGAGGAACACATACCAAAAACAGAATTACCTTCAGTTGATATAAAACAAATAAATGTTAATTTTTTTCTTAAAAAGCAATAGTCTTACAAACTATCCTGAATTAAACGCAGCCTTTCTACCCTAGGTCTCTCAAACCTCATGGGTGTTTTGCTTTATTAGACATAGGACTCTTCCTCAGGTAAGAATTGTATCTTCCCTCCTCCGCATGTCAAGAGGTATGTCATCTTTATTTTGGGGTTTTTTTTGGGGGGTGGGGTAGTATTAAAGATTGAACTCAAGAGTTTTTACACTGAGCTATGTGCCAAGCCATTTATTTTGTTTTCATTTTTGAGACAGGGTCTCACAAAGCTGCTAAGTTGGATAGTCTGGGCTTGAACAACAAATCTGCCTCAGCCTCCCAGAATGCTGGGATTACAAGCATGTGCCACCATGCCCAGGTTCTTCTTTTTAATATATTTCAAAGCAGCAGCACAATTTCCTTAAGACATATTCTTTCCTGTCTGATTTTTATTAATTCTTAGATGTACAAATATTTGATTTAGTTAAAACTTCAGTAGAGATTTTTAAAAATGAAGTCATGAATGAAATAGCTTACTTACTTTCCCTGTCACTGAGACACAGTATCTGACCCCTGCAAATTAAATGAGGTTTATTTTGGCTCATACTTCAGTCCATAGTTGGTGGCTCCAAGGCAGGAGGGCATGGCACAGGGGCACGGTGCAGGACTAGCTGCTCACGGCATGGCAGACAAGAAGCAGAGAGTGAAGGGAGGAGCCGTGGAGGGAGACTAAACCATTCTGGGCCACACTCCCCAGTGACCCACCTCCTAACAGCAAGCCAGCTATGAGCCCCCATAATCCAAATGCCTTCCAAAAGGCCTGCCTTTGAGTATATGAGGCTTTGGGGAGACCTCTAGATATTAACCGTAACAATAGCCCATAGACTAGAAAACAAGTTTATAAGGTAAATTTGGCTTGTTGTCATTTCACCCATTGGAAAAAGGCACCAAAAATGGCATAACAGAATCCTTTTCAGATCAAAGACCACGCACACTGACTAGCCTCAGATAATAAGCTCTACTGTTCTCTGTGCCTCTCATAAGTTTCCATTTAGAATGCATTTATGTCACTTTCCACCCTTGTGGTGTAAGATACACAACAACTGTGTGAAATCTGGACTTACCAAAACCTGCTGCCATTCAGTGGGTGCTTTATATCAGGCCAGTACCGATTCATATCCTGGAAAAGATCCTGTGCATAATTTAAGAAAAAAAAATATTTGTAAGACACCACAAACTCAAAACTTAGGAAGTAAATATGATAAATTAATATATTTAAAAATTTGAGCTGTGTTAATGTCCTCTAGCTTTGCCAAAACCTATAAAACCATGCAATATAAACAGCAAACCCTAATGAAAACAACGAAATGCAGTTAATAAGATATCAGAAGCCAGGTGCACTCTGGAGGGTGAGTCAGCACTGTGAGTTCAGGGCCAGTCTGGGTTACACAGTGAGTTCAAGACCAGGCTAAACTACACAGTAAGACGCTGTCTCAAAATAATGATGATGATGATGATGATGATGATGATGATGATGATGATAGGAGGACAAAGAAGAAAAGGAGAGAGAGAAGGGATCAGTACTGCTTCCTCAGCTGTGACTAATATAACTTTGGTGGTAGAGGATGTTAATAGGGGAAACTACAAACTGTACTTCCCATCCAATTTCTCTGTAAACCTAAAACCGCTCTAAAAATAACATCGGTCAAAACAAATACAAGCTCATATTTTCAGAGAAGAGCTTATCTGAGCTGAGCCCTCATATGCTATGCAGATGGTTATGCTAAACCCAACCCGAGTTCATTTTCTGATCTCTACCTACCAGTATCAGACCAATATCAGAAAAATTTTCCAGGGAAACACACAGAAACTTAGGCTAGTCTCACTTTCCCCTGCCTTCCACTACTCCCATTAAAATGCTCCTCCTCAGTGAACCTCTGGGAACCATCTCACTGCCCTCCTCATTCCCTCAGGAGCTGCCCGCCCCATGTCTCACTTCCTTTGCCTTCTTCACTGCTACGCCCTCAATCTGGTTTCAGCCCCATCAGCCCTTTGGGGGTGACACAGGGGGATAATGCAATTGATTTTCCAAACTAGGCTACTTTTGTTTGGGACAAATACCAAGTTGAACATTATGCTACACAAGTAAACCAAGGCTGCTGTGAAAGACCAATAGCACGACTACCAAAGACCTAGCAGTCCCTTGATCCAAGTTATTCTGGCCTTCCTTTTATAGATCCTCCTTTTATTGACACTCCTTCAACTACACCCCATTCCCCAGCTTTCTCTCCTCCTGACTCCATTTTCATAGGCCCTTTTTCTATCCTGTTTTTAAATGCTGGGGTTCATCCAGTCTGCCCCTGTTCCTCTGTATCTACCTGGTTGGTCCTGCCCTGCCCTGAGATGACTGAATACACACAGGGACTATCATGCCCCTTAAAAAAAATGAGTGTGGTAGAGTGCTATATTCCACATGAATTAGAGGAGTTCCTCAAAAGTACTTCTGTTCACATCACCGACTGCATTCCTATGGCTCATTCTTCAAGAGGAGCTTTTGTATTGGAAAGGCCCATCATTTTCTTCCAGCTCAGAGTCCCTACACAGCGCTCATCCCACCTATAGCTGGAAAGGTCAGCCCTCAATACTGTGTGTCCATTCTCCAGCACAGATGCCCAGAGACACCACACAACCAGAGACCCACTTTCTGTCGCTGATCCAGGAGCCCTAGGACTGGAGACTGATTGGTGCTGGCAAGCAAATTTCAGTCTTTGCTCCCCTAAGCTCCTCTCACAGCTCACTTATTCTGTGACTAGGTCCAAGGGAGACAGGTCAGTTTTTATTTAATTTATGGGGTTGTTTTAGATATTAATAATTACTAAAACATTGCCTGGGGCTCAATCCCAACGTGATTTTGAGGGTATACATTTGAAGAAGAGAGTTAATGTAGGTTCAATGTTCTACTACAGCAGAAAGATAATTAAGTTTATACCTTAATCTCATCTAAATGAAAGTGCCACGATGAATTACAATCTTCCACTTTGTCAGGCCTTGAGATCCAAATAAAAAAAATGAGAAATATTAGTCTTGGTTAGGATGGCTTCTATATGACATTTGAATACACTTTCATTAAAGACTGAAAAGAAAAATTCTAATTAAGAATTCTACATCCTGTGTGAGCCTTTTAACAAAGAATGCCTAGAACAACTAATCATAGTTTTAGTTTCTTTAGAAGAGGAAAGAAATGATGCTTAATATGTTCCTGCTGGCTTGGGCCACCACTGATACGTGCATGACTGTTCCATTGGGCTGCTTGTGCCACTAGCAGTACAGTCATGCAAGGGACAGGCATGTATATACCACTGGTGGTCCAAGCCGCCTGGCAGCAAGACACAGAGATTGTGGCTGTTGCAAACATTTAAAAAGTGAAGGAATAATCCATACAGGCTGGCTTTTTAGTAGAGGAAGCACAAGAGGGGGAGCTTTGGAGTTGGCCCACTATGGGCTGTTTCCTGGCACAGTGATGCTAAGCAATCTGACTGGGGCCACAGCCATTCCAAAATGCAGCATGAAGAGGAGCTTGTACCTCTAAACTGTGATACAGTCAGTGAGATAACATACAACAGACACACTCAGAAATGCCTGGCCCATTACGAGATCGGTTAGTATGACTTTTGTTTTTATTTTTTAGTACCAAATTCACACTCCTTGATTTTTGAATTTTCTGCCCTCAAATGTTTGATTCTGGACACATCAACTTTCATTCTCTAGATGCTGCTTAGTTCACGAAGTCCCCACGCTGACTTTCTAAAACCCTTTAGAGCCTCATGTAGGCCAGGATGCTGTGGCTCTGTAATCATGAGGCTGGCTGCCCAGCAGGTGAAAGCAGCACAATGCCCCCCACCACACACACAAGGGGCCACTTTCTTCCTTACAATCATAGCAGCTAGCACAAGCAGGGATATAATGAAGGCAACTGAAGACAGCAGAGAAATCAAGCAAAACTCAGTAAAGACAAAAGCCCTAAAGAACCTGGGAAGAAAGTGGAATTATAACCAAGTACCTGGGTCCTATTTAATCTATTTCTGAACCCCCTACAAGGGACAAGCAGGTACCAGTAAGATCCAGAACAAAATAGATCCCTTCCAGGGAACAAACTAATGTGCATAATTTAAAATCACATATATATATATATGCAAATAAATAAGTATAATTTAGACAAAAGCAAAAAAAAAGTATCTGTGGAGTGTTTAATACTCTCATTCTTCCTGTCTCTCTTATATACATATATATATACACACATATATATACGTATGTATGTATGTATGTATATATATATATATATATGTCATGTTTATTTATATAATGGGTTCCAAAGAAAGAACAAAGTAAAAAAATTAAAATTTAGGGATCCTAAAATGTTCCCAGAATCCCTAAAAGTATATTTAAACTGGATTGTTATTAGCCTACCAAAACAGAAATAAACAAGAGTAAGGGTTCTGTTCAGAAACTACAACTATTTTAAAATAAGAATCTGATATACTGAATAAAATCCTAACAAAAATAACAAATATAATTAAGTCTAGATTCAAGCTACAATTTCAAGTTAGACAGCTACTCCCATTTAATCAGATTTTATTTTATTAAATGCTTACCATAGTCCATGTATTGTCCAGTAATCCAGAGGCTTTTCACAGTCATTAAGTTCCTTCAGAGAAAAGACACAAAGAAGATAATTGGTTCATTATTTAAGAACATTTAGCAACCATACTTCCTTTCAACATACATCACAGGGGCATTACTAAGTCAAGGTAAACCCAGTGTTAATACTATACAATACCTTTATCCCAGAAACAGGCTCAGGAAGAAAAGGCACTGGGGCTCCATGTTTTAGGGCAGGCCTCAATTTAGCAGACAGAGTTAAACAGCTATTTTGCTCTTTATATGTACTCACAAATATAGGTACTCACAAAGTCCCTGAATAATCTGCTAACCATCTAATCAGAAATAAATGTTCTGAACAAAGGCTGATAATATCCCATTATACTACCAGGTATGAATACACTAGAGAAGTAGTAAGTATCAAAAACTTGAAGCCAAGAAATATAACAAGGTGAGAATAGAAGTGTTGTTGTGCCCAGATCGCGATATCCCCAGAGATCACCAAGGAGTCAAGTCCGATGCAATCACATGAGGAGTTTACTGCAAGCTCGAGCCTGGACCCTTGTACCTCACCGACCAAGCGGATCAGAAATGAGAGCCTGACCCCCTTTCTAAGGCATAGTTTTATAAGGTTCGGGAGGCTTGAAATTCTCTCTTTCTTACTGGTGCTACCTTCTATTTCTTATTCCTATTGGGTGTTGCTGGGGCACTTGCAAAAGCGGGAAGAAACTATTTCAGGTTGGGGAAGGGGCTCGTTCAGGGAGAGGTCAGGGTGTTTTTCTTATCTGTACAGAACATCTTGTTTTTCTTCTCATTTTCTGTTCCCACCTGCCCAGGAGGGGAGGGGGAGGTGTGGGGCTAACTTTTTCTAATCACAGCTTTCTTTGCAACTAAGTGAAGCAGGCACTGTAAAGGCTTCTTGGAACTATTTACAGAGACATTTTTCAGAGAACCAAGTTAGGGGGCTGGGTTAGTGGCTCGTCTAAGAGTTAGATCACAAAATGGAGATAGTTTGGTTTCTATAGTATATCCTTGGCCTCAATAATAAAGATCAAAATCTCAGTACAACAAAAACATTTTTAGGCGCAAAGGTTTGCCTAAGATAGAATTTTTCCACAATAAACAATCAAGAAACATACTCGAGCCATCAGCCTGAGTGAAACAAATCTCAGGTCCAAACCCCACAGTGACCAAGCAAAGTTTGAGCGTGTGAAGAAAGACAAGACATCATTCTCCATCTTGCCCAATCCTTTCCTCTGTATGTCTGTCACCTTTTGTGGGAAGGCAGCTTCTTTTCAGGCTGGTCCAGAGATAAGGAAGGACCTGTTTGCAGTGGCTGAAGTGCCCAGTGACAGCTCCCTGCTACAGGACAGCTGGGCAATAGCCTGTAAAAAATCCAAGCAACAAAGACCATATACTTCAACCCCTGCCAAAACCCCAATTCAATCCCTAAGGAAACCTTACTTCCTGCAGTCCACAGCTTATGAAGAGCAAAGACAGCACCAAACATGAGCCATAAGGAGGTAACTCCAATAATGGGCTGCTTTCTTCCATTCCCCAGTAAGCACTCATCAGCTCCTAGAGAGCTTGAGGTTGAGGACATAGTGTAGTGTAGATGAAGACAGGCTGTATAAGTACTGTACCATGGATATCTCAAAGAGAGAAGCCCAGAGACAGCTCCTGCAGCCAGAAGGAAGCCTGGACTGGAATACCAGCACTTTCTTATCGTAGCCATCTGGTTTGAAATAAACGGTCTAACAGTGACATTTTGCTAATCATTTTTTTTTAAATCTTGTTACTAAAGCCTCAAAGCAGGAAGGCACTTCCTTCTCTGCATATCTCATGCAGTCAAGGGACACACCCACATCTCCCCAGAAAGGCCAGAACTGAAGGAGCCTCTTCTGCCTCTGACCCTGAGTCACAGCTTTCTCCATTCAGGGAGCCTTCAGAGGTCAACTATTCCTCAACTCCCAGCCAACTGAAACTTTGTTCCCTGCACCTTCCTACCATTTGCATCCCACTCCACCCCTGCACCAAAGAAAAAGAAACAGCACCAGGAGGGAAAAACAGACAATATGTTATAAAATTTGGAAAACTGAAACCAAAGTAGTCTAATGTAATAATGGAGACACAATTGCAAATAAGATTCCAGACCAAAAATATATAATTTGATAAGGATAATGAGTAAAATTTCAATTTTATCTGTCAACAGCAAAGTTAATCAGTGAGGAATTAAAAATGTCCTCACTACTCAACAATGAAGGTGAAATAAAAACCCAGAGTGCTCCTAACTCTGGCAGGAAATGATCAAATTATATTTTACCTATTAGCCACATTCATCTTGTATAATTTAGAGGCTTCAAAATTCAAAACTCTCAAGTAAAATTTCATAAACACTGTCAATGAAATTAGTGCTAGTTCAGAAATATGATAAAATACTACAGATAACTTTGCAAAGGAAGGACACCAGGATCAAGCTTTGTCACTGCCCATGAGAAGGACCAGCCTCAGCAGTAACTATAGGAGCAAGGCAGGATTCCAATGGGAAAAGCCTCAGCATTGATGCCCTAAAAAGACAAAAAATTATGGACAGCTAAGTTAGATAGAAATAGAATGGGCAGTCGGACAGGACTGAGTCCTCAAAAAGTCAGGACCAAAGGTACAAACACACTACAACTGTGTCCAATCTCCAACTGATGGGCAAATGGGCTGTTTCCAAGTTTTAGCTATTACAAACTGTGCTGCTATAAACATGGGTGTGCATATATTACTCTGGTATGATTCTTTTAATTCTTTTGGAAAGATACCCAGAAGAGGGATGGCTGGGTCAAATGGAACCTCTAGTCCCAGCTCTTTGAGGTATCTCCATATTGATTTCCATAGTGGTTGCACCAGTCTGCACTCCCACCAACAATGGAGAAGGGTTCCTTTCTCCCTACAACCCTGCCAACATTTGTTATTGTGTGATTTCTTGATAGCAACCATTCTTTGTGGGGTGAGGTGGAATCTCAGTGTTGTTTTCATCTGCATCTCTCAAAGATGTGGTTTTTCTATAAAATGGAATACTACTCAGCCATAAAGAATGAGAAATTAGACTCATTCATAGGAAAATGGATATATATTGAGGATATACTCCTAAGTGAAATAAATAAGTCACTCATGTGTAAATACCAAATAGTTTCTCTGATGTGAATAAACTATAATAGCACATAAGATCCTAATGAGATAACTGACATTGTGAAATGGGAAGAAAAGGGCTAACGGTGTAGGGAAAGTGGGAAGGGTAGGGGAAAGGTAATAAGGGGAAAAAAATATGAGAAAATGAAAAAAATGGAAATAAAGTGTTTGTAAATGGGAAGGGGTGGAGGAGGTGAAGGGAGGGCAGGGACAAGGGGAAAAAAATGAGAACCAAGACCACATGTCATGTAAAGGTACAAGATCCCAATAATGAACGTTAACTGTACTGTATACATAAAGTGTACCAATAAACTCAATAAAAGAAAAAAAAAAAGACAAACACACTACAACTGTGGCCAGAGACATGGCAGCTGGAGGCCAGGCCTCAATGACAAAAGGACTAGAACAAAGAACTACAACAAGCAGGCTAGTGAAAGCAAAGAGGTACAGCCTTTATTCACCTGGGCAGAGGTGAACTGACACCAATCAAGAGGCCACCAGCCCTGAACAAAAAAAAGGCAGAACGCTTTGTAGTATATTGGAAGAGAGGGCTGGCACATCTATCACATACTGGGATCAAATCAAATATTTGTGGTCAGGGTCCATAAAGCAATCAAGGCAGATGTACAGATATTTTCAGGTCACTTGGCATTGAAAAGATGCATACTTTGTAGCTGTTATCTCTATGTTGGGAGCATCCCATCCTGTTTTTGTTGCATGGAGACAGCCCCTATATGGCTGCCTGTTTTGTTGTGGTTTTTTGTACCTTGTCAAACTATAGCTTGGAATTAAAAAGCATATCCATTAACCATTTCACAACCAGGTCAAGCCTGACAAGAACCAGGCCTACATACTTCACCAAAGGATAAGTGACAGCACCAGGTCTAGTAAAGTCTAGACAGGCATCAGTTGCCTCACTGGGTGATCAAGACCCCCAGATTCATCACCTACCTGATAAGTTCTTTGGTCTTTCTATGTACTCTTGCTATGTGACTTGCTTCCCGACTGAATCTCTATTATCTAAGTGACTATACTTGTAACTCAATGGTTTATCACAGCTTTTTTTTTTTTGGTACCAGGGATCAAACTCGGGACCTTGTGCTTGCAAGGTAAGCAGCGGAACTGAGCTAAATCCCCGGCCCAGTTGATCACAGCTTTAACTGACATTGTACCAATGTGGGTTTTGTTCTCAGGAGCTGTATCTTTCCCCCTCAATAAATATTTTCCTACTCTTAATCCCTGTTGTTCTTAGAATTCATTGTTTGATTTTAGAGAACACAAACTCAGTGTATTAGACATCTAACAGGTTGGGAGATATAATATTTTCATATTTCATCTCTTATGTCAAAAAAGACACAAAGCAGGTCAAAACCACAGAAGGAGAAAGCTGTTGATGCTGCCAAGCAGAACAAAGGAGGCAGGCATTGTTTCTCAGATCCCTTGCACAAGTGGAAGATATTTAATGAGACTGTAAGTATAACATGGAAGAGACAGATCCAGCCCCACTATGAGTTGAATTTTGATCCCTGAATGATACATCCCTGTCTCAACTTTTTTATCTGTTAACTTGGAAACAGGATCCTTGCAGATGTAATCAAAATAAGATAAGGTCACACTAGATTGGAGAGAGCCCTAAATGTAAACACTTGTGTCACAAGAGACAGACACAAGGCAGGCAGACACAAGGAAGGTGATGTATCTGTAAGCCTAGGACACAGCTGGAAAACTAAAACAACAGCAGGCTATGGCAATAATGGAGACACAGTTACAAATGAGATTCAGAGGAAGTTCTAGAAACCTAGAACAAACTCCTTTAGCACCCTATAGAAAGAACCAACCCT